CTATCACACGCGTCCGCGGGTAGAGAACAATTAGCGCAATGGCAGGAATGGGAGGGGGGGGATAGAATGTCAGGTGTGACGCGCCTGCACCTAACTTGCCTCTCCCGTCTCCCATCTCCTCTCTCCGCTCTACTCTCTCATCTCTCCTCCCTCATCCCTCCTCTCGCACCTCTCTTCCTCCTCCTCCTCCGCCTCCTCCTCCTCATCCTCATCCTCATCCTCTTCCTCCTGATCCTCCTCCTCATCAACATCAGCAGCAGCATCAGCAGCATCATGATCATGATCATCATCAGCATCAGCATCAACATCAGCAGTAGCAGCAGCATCAGCATCCTCATCATCAGCATCAGCATCCTCATCAACATCATCATCAGCAGCATCATCAGCATCATCATCAGCATCAGCATCCTCATCTCATCTCATCTCATCTCATCATCATCATCACCCTCATCATCATCATCATCATCATCATCATCATCATCATCATCATCATCATCATAATCATCATCATCATCATCATCATCATCATCATCATCATCATCATCCCCCTTTCTCCTCCCCTCCTCCGCCTCCTCCTCCCCCTCGTCCTTTTCCTCCTCTTCCTCCTCCGCCTCCTTTTCCTCTTCGTCCTCCTCCTCCTCCTCCTCCGCCTCCTCCCCCTCCTGATCCTCCTCCTCTTAATCCCACGTGGCTGGGTCGGCGTGCACGGCGCGAATTCGCATGTTCGGCCTGAATGGTTCGGCCTCGGCGCTGCAGATTTCCCTGGCCCTGCCTGGTAGGTTCGGTCTGGGCGCTGTGTATCCGCTCGATTAAGCCTCGACGCGGCTGGCATGGGCGCCGCGGATTCACCTAGTGCGGCCCAGCTCGTTCGGCGCGGGCGCAAGAAAATTGTTTAGCTTCGCCTGGCTGGTTCGACCTGGGCGCCGCTGATGTTCTTGGCTGGGCCTGAATGGTTCGGCCTGGCTACCGCGAACTTGGCATCATCCGTCCAGCTGGTTCGGCTTGGCGCCGTGGTTCTGTTTAGTTTGAACTGGCCGCTTCGGTCTCGATGCCCTAGATTTGTCTGGCTCAGCCAACGCGGCGGTCGCGAGTTTGCTTAATTTGGGCCTGGGCGGTTCGGCTTGGGCGCCGCAGTTTCTCGCTAGTCGGCCGCGCCGGCTCGGCCCTCTCACCGCGAACTCGCGCGTTTCGGCTCTGCTCGTTCGGCCCAGGGGGGCACGAATATCTTGAGATCGGCCTGCCAGGCTCGGCCTGGGCGGTTCGGACCTGCTCAACTGGGCGCGGGCGTTTCTGCGGGCGCGGCGGATCTGACGGCTTCGACCGGGCAGGGTCGGCCTGGGCGCTGCAGGCGCACCTGGCTCGGCCTGGCTGGTTTGGCTCGGGCGCTGCGCACCTGCTTGTGCCCCACAAACTGGCGCGGCCTGGTTGGAGCCAATTTTCCTTGCTGGATCGGCCAACCTGGTTCAGCACGTACGCCGCAGATTGGCATGGCTCGGCGTGGACTGTTTAGCCTGGTCACCGCGGATCGTTTGCCACGTTTGGCCTGGAGCTCGGCCTGGTTGCCGCGGATTCCGTTCGGGTTTCGGCACGGTTGCGGCGGATATTCGCCTCGGTCGGCCTGGCTGGCTCGCCGTGGGCTCCGCGGGTCAGCTCAGCTCGCGCGCCGCCAGCGTGCGCCGTCTCACTCTTCGATCCCGCTGCCGCTCCGTCGGCACCATGCGCCGAAGGACGGAGCGCGCAGATGGCCAGTTTTCAAGGGGCCATGGGACACACAAATAAGAACACACAAATCCCAGGATTCCCAATATCTTCTCATACTTTCTGGGGTTCCGTCTTCCCCCCATGGTCCACCTTTTCCCACGTTTCTGCTCCTGGGAAGCGACGATTCCTTGTGTTTGCGTATGTTTGCTCCCCTCCTGAAGTGTGACTCCCCCTGGAGCGTCGCGCGCGACGTGCAACGCCGCCCGCCCCCCCCCCCGCCGGTTCCCCCGCAGCGCCCCCGCAGACTCTCGCGGCCGGCCCGGCCCCTCGCTCGCCGAGAAGGCTCGCCGGCAGTCCGACGAGCGGCCGGCCGCTGCCTGCACCGGCCCTCGCAACGCACGCAAGCGCGACCTGGCGGCGCGCACAATGGGGTGTTTTTTTTTTCTGCGCCACGGCAATGCGCAGAAGAAATCAGAAAACGGTGCCGGCGCGCGCGCGCTCCCGCGCGCGCGCTCCCCCCACGCGGCGCGCACAAGGGGGTGGTGATGATGCGACGCGCGGCTTCGTTGGATGCGTGCTCGATGATGGCTTGGTAGATCAGGCAACAAAAAAAGAAAACCCCGTTGCCAAAATGGCGCTCCTCCAGGAGGCTGCCCCCCGCCTGCGGGAGGAAGGAGCCTCATAGGACGCCTCCAGCGGTCCAAGGAGCTCGGGCAGCGTGATTCCTGCGGGCGCGGGCCTCCCTGCGGACAGCGGGGTGGAGGGAGGCGGGAGGGCTCCTCAGAAGGAGGCTGCCTCTTAGAAGGCGCCGGCCTTACATCTATGTATAGAGAAGGCCCGCGCCTTCTCTGAGAAGCAGGGGTGCTTTTCTAGGAGGCCCTCCCCCCTCCCCACCCCCCTCTGCGCGTGGCTGTCTCGCGCCGCATGCCAGCGCAACCCCCCAAAAAATACTGCTGTTCTGTGTATTTTCTTGCCTGCGGCCGCGGGGGAGCGGGGGCGGCCGGCGCCGAGGGGCGAGTCCAGCTGCCGTGAAAAAACGCACAGTTCAGGCTGCGGCCACTGCAGCAGAGAGAGCGGAGTCGAACAAGCCTCCGAACGGTCCGAAGCCCAGGCATCCTGCACCATCCTGCAGTCAGTTGCCACTTCGAGGCCCTTGGGGCCCGAGAGCTCCAACACCATCCAGGAAGCGAGCAAACCCAACCGGCCCCCGCCGGCCGGACAAGATGGGGCAGGGGCCATGAGCTCTTCCTACCACGGTGACAACCCCGCCCGTGCACACGACATCCAATCCCGCACGCGAGAAAGATGGAAAATCTTACTCCAGCACTGAACTGTCCAGGCAAACTCTCCTCGTGAGTACCCCATGCGGCGGCACGAGGTCCCACTCGAACCCTGGTTCTGAATACGGCGAAGCCCATCTCCATTCTGCATATGGCGCCAGCGCTCGCACATGGAGGGGCAACGTACACTTGCGAACTGGAATGTGTAGCAAGCTAGAGATGTCTAGATCGCGCAGTTTGGGCGGATGAGCTTGGCAAACATGAGGATGGTGCAAAAGCGAACCTCTGGCGCCCATGCACCACTGGCACGTGTTGTCGATATTCTTCCTGTCCTGAAACAGACCTCCTGAGTCGGGACCCCTCCTGCAATAACTCCTGCGAGTCCACCTGCTGCTTGAGACCGTTCATTAGGTCGAAGCGTTCCCAAAAACTCGATGACAGGCTCGATTAGAGGTCCTTCCTCCAATCCTTCGATCCGCCCATCTCCTAAACTGATGATCAGCTGGTCTCTAACAGCCTTGCCGAATACCGCATTATGCAATCGGGCCCCGAGCTGGGAGTCATCCACCAGCTGCCCTGATCGGCTGAAGAAGACACACCAAGGGATCAGGGTCCAGTTCTGGCGCCTGAAGGTCAGGACAACCGCGCCTGCTGGGCCAGGAACTTGGTTCCAATCGCGACCCTGCTTGCTAGAAAAAAGCCAAGAGCTCTGCGACAGAACGATGGGATTGACCCATCTATGGCGGGCCGCCTGACCCTGCGACATAATCGGAAACATGTTGGCGTCGTACTCCTCTTCCCTCCTCCTCCTCCTCCTCCTCCTCATCATCATCATCATCATCATCATCAGCATCATCATCATCATCATCATCATCATCATCATCATAATCATCAGCAGCAGCAGCATCATCATCATCATCATCATCATCATCATCATCATCATCATCATCATCATCATCATCATCATCTTCCTCATCGTCCTCGTCCTCCTCGTCCTCCTCCTTCTCCTCCTCGGCATGGACACCATCACCATCAGCAGCATCATCAGCAGCAGCATCAGCATCATCCTCATCATCATCATCATCATCAATGGCATAGTCATCATCATCTACATCATCACGATCGCCATCATCAGCAGAAGCATAAACATCATCAGCATCAGCATCAGCATCATCAGCATCAGCATCATCATCGCCATCACCATCATCATCAGCATCAGCATCATCACCCTTATCAGCTTCATCATAATCGCCATCATCACCTATATCATCATCATCATCGTCATCATCAACATCTTCATCATCATCATCATCATCATCATCATCATCATCATCATCATCATCATCATCATAATCATAATCATAATCATAATAATCAGCAGCATCGTTGTCACCATCATCGTCAGCAGCATCATCAGCAGTATCATCCGCAGCACCAGCAGCAGCATCCTCATCATCGTCAGCATCAGCATGATACTGGTATTATTCTGCATCATCATTATCATCATCGTCATCAACCTCTCCGTGTTCATCACCATCACAACCATAACAGTCACCATCACCACCAGCATCATCATCACCATCATCAACAGCATCATCATCGACATCGTCATAATCATCAGCATCATCAAGCTCAGCATCATCATCATCAGCAGCAGCATCATCCTCTTCATCCGCATCAGCATCATCATCGTCAGCATCATCATCATCAGCAGCATCATGGTCATCATCATCATCATCATCAGCAGCAGCATCGTCATCTTCATCATCACCATGAGCGCCATCTTCATCATCACAAGCATCATCATCAGCAACACCATCATCATCGTCCTCCTCCTCCTCCTCCTCGCTACCTCTTCCTCCTCCTTCTCCTCCGTCTCCTCGTCCTCCTCCTCCTCTTCCTCTTCCCCCTCCTCTTCCTCCTCCTCCCCTTCATTGTCTCTCTCGCCTTGATTCTCGCCCTCGGCCTCGGCCTCGCCCCCCCGCCCCCTCGTCCCCCTCCTCCAGCTCCTGCCGCGACCGGTGGCCCGCGAAGTTGGCGAAGCAAAAGAGCCAGAACAGCACCGCGGCGGGCACGAGCCCGTGGTGGAGCAGCCTGCTCCAGTACTTGAGCCGCAGGAGGGCGGCAGCGTGGGGGCGCCTGTAGGAGGAGCAGCAGCAGCAGGAAGAGGAAGCTGAAGAAGAAGAAGATAAAGATAAAGAAGAAGCAGAAGAAGAAGAGATGATGAGGAATAGCACGAGGTGGGGAAGGAGGAGGGAGGAGGGCGAAGGAGAAAGAGGGAGTAGAAGGAGGAGGAGGAGGACGAGGAGGATAAGGAGGAGGAGGAGGAGGAAGAGGCGGAGAAGGGAGGAGGGAGGAGGGTGAAGGGAGGAGGGAGGAGGAAGGAGGGAGGGGAGGAGAGGGAGGAGAAAAGGGGCGGGAGCGAAGAGGGAGGAGAAGGAGGAGGGGAAGCAAAAGGGGGAAAGGTGGAGGAGGAGGAGGAGGAGGTAAGAGGAGGAGGGGGAGGAGGAGGAGGAGGAGGAGGAGGAGGAGGAGGAGGAGGAGGAAGAGGAGGAGGGAAGAGGAGGAGGGGGAGGGACGAGGAGGAGGAGGAGGAGGAGGGGGAGCAGGAAGAGGAGGAGAAGGAGCAGGAGGACGAGGAGAAGCAGGAGGAGGATGAGAAGGGGGAGGAGGATAAGGATGAGGAGGAAGAAGTGGAGGAAGAGAAGGAGTTCGGATACCCTGGGGGATGCGGGTCTTACGATCGCGCCGCACCGCAAGCACCGACTAGCGCCAGACGAGAACGCGGGCAGCTGCACAAGCCGAGGCGATTCACTCAGCAGTCGGCGCGGACTCCAGCTTCACTACACTGTAAGTATGAAGCGCTAGAGTGATGCCCTGACACGTGCGATGCAGCGACGTGGCGCTGTCGCGGTCGGCAGCGCAGGCAGCGTCGGGGCCCAGGCCCCAGAACGTGAGCGTCGCGCGGAGGAGACGAAGGGGCAGGGAACCAGAGGAGGCCCGGCAGGCGAGGACAGGAGAGGCAGTGGAGAGAAATGCCTCCGCGGCATGTGGACAGCCGAATGCGCACGGGCGGGACACCAGAACGTGCCTGCGGGCGGTTGTGGTCCACCCTCCGCTGAGAGTTTGAAGGACAGCCCAACGCCAGCTCGGACGGAGACCCCTGGAGGGTCCGGCGCCAGCTCCAGAGTGACACTCGCAAATTCTGGACAGATCTCGACGACGACGACGACGACGACGACGACGACGACCCTTCGTGGAACTGGCCAGGAGGCGACCGCCCGCACCACGCTCCACAAGGCCAAGCGCCTCTGGGAACACGCCTAGCAGAGAGCGAGACGGCGGTGGATCGCGACCAAGACCCGGGAGCTGGCCAGTGCCCAGGCTCCCGGCGATCTCGGCCGCTCCTGCACGGCTCTGCGGCGCACCTCCCTCCTGGGAAGCGACACCTCGTGCCTTAAAGGCCAGGAGCATGTCCCACTCGAGCAGCTGCGCCAGCACGCCACGGACGCCGCCAAAGACCTGGGCCACGTGGACGAAGCCACCCTCAAGCACGGCCTCCCCGCACTCAAGCCCGCAGTGTAAATCGGCGAGGTCCATGAGCACAAAGAGATCATCAAGGCGCTCAAGGGCATGCGCGAGGAGACCGCTGCGGGGCCAGACCAGGTGACGCCGGTAATGCTCAAGAGCGCAGGGCCCGCTCTGCATGCTCTGCTCATGGCCGTGGTTCAAGACATGCGGCAGCAAGACCCGGACACCTGGCCCAGCTCCGTCCACGAGGACTACGGTATCTTCCTGCACAAGAGGGGCCTGAGGGAGAAGCTGGACAACTACAGGTGCATCATGATCGGCTCCATCTGCAGCCGCCTGATTGCAAGAATCATGTCGGCCCGCCTCACGAAGCACCTCGACAAGGCGGGGCTTCTTCTGAAGCAGCAATATGGCTTCAGGCCGTACCGCTCCGTCGTCGGCCTGATCTTCTTCCTCCGGATCGTGCTCGAGTGCGCCGCCGCCCCAGACACCGTGGACGTCGGCGACCCGCTGGTAGCCATTTTCGCTGACTCGCACAAGGCGTGCGTATCCCCGCACGATCAAAGAGGCCACGTTCACGCTCGCAGAGCGCGCTGGTATCCCACCTTCCTGCATGGCCTGCACAGGCCCATCAACCACCAGATCAAGCGCAGCGAAAGGCTAAGCGAGCCCTCCCCGCTCCAGAGAGGCCTCCGCGAGGGCGACGCCACGTCCTGCCCGCTGCTCCACCTGTACCGCGCCAACGCCATGCGCCGCGCCACGGAGGTCATGCGGGACACGCTCGGCGCGGACATGGGTGTGCCGATAGGGGTCCGCAACGGCGTCCGGCTGGGGCTCAAGCCTGGTGCCAAGGCTCGCCAAGCGCCCGCCGACGACCTCCTCACTTTGCTCACGCCGTACTACGCCCACGACACCAACCTCTTCTGCCAGCGCAGCCAGTGCAAGCGGCACGAGCGGCTCCTCGAGGGCACGCTCTCGCTCTGGGGAGTTGAATTCCAGCCAGGGAAGTACGAGAGATTGATCACGATCCCAGACGGGGATCCTCTTCCTCCAGGTTTCGCAGAGGCCGCGCGCTTCGTAGGCGGTTGGCTCCGAGGCGACGGCCGACACAGCACGGAGACCACCAGGTGGGCAGAGCGAACGAACAAACTCTGGCAACGCCTCTTCTCGCAGATCCCACGCTTGGCCAACATGCTGTTCGCCGCCGAGGCCTGGATGTGGTCTGCAAGCAGCATCGGACGCCTGCAGGTGATCCAGAGCCGCATGGTGAGGGGAGCGCTGGCGTAGCAGATCCGCGACATGCACGAGTTGCAACAATGAAAGCGGACTCGGATTCAGAAAAGTGGCTCGCTCTGTGGCGAGAGCGCCATTCTGAAAGACGGAAGCAAAACGCCGATCCGAAAATGAGACCCACTCTGCAGCGGGAGCACCATTATGCCGAATACCGACGGATTGCAAAATTACTCCGACGGAAGGACCCCGCATGAGAATAACCTTGGTGCGCATGTGCGGGACAATTGAAAACTAACGATGGTGATGATGCTAGGTTGCGAGGGCGCCGGGATGCCAGTAAGCCAGGATGCCAAGACACCAAGATGCCAGGATGCCATGATGTAAGGGACGCCAGGATGCCAGCGTGCCAGGATGCCAGGAGGCCAAGACACCAAGATGCCATGATGCCAGGGATGCCAAGATGCCAGCGTGCTAGGATGCCAGGAGGCCAAGAGTTATGCTGCTCCCATCGTACTCAAGGACCACATCCCAGAAATAATTTCGAGCACCTGGAAAAGTGTCGAAACAGTGTCGAAACAGTATCGAAACAGTGTCGAACGAGAGTCTTCCAGGGCCCGACACATGAAAACCCTCGAGTCTCGGTACTTTCTTGGTGCTCGACATGCGTTCTGGTGATTCAGGCTAAAGTAGTTTGGAACATCATTAGCCAAGAGGCCAGGACGCCTGGATGAGAGCATGACAAGATCCTAGGATGCCAGGAATGCCAGGGTGCCTGGATGCCAGGGTGCCAGGATGCCAGCATCGCAAGATCCCAAGATGCCTGTGCCACCTGTGCGGCCTGTGGGATACGCGGGACATATGGGACCTGTGGAACATCTGGGCCACGCACGGCTTGCGGGACCTGTGGGGCCTGTGGAGCACGTGGAACTTGCCCCCGTCTGTGGAAGAGGGCCGCCTCCGAACGGGCTGCAGGCCAGGGCAGCCGCGGCGGCCAGAAGGCGGCGCGACCACATCGGGCAAGCAGATGCTGGTACGCATCGATGCTGGGCGCAGGATGGGCCAGCGCGACCATGGATTCGATCGAGGTGGGCCACTTGCAGCGGACGCGTTGCCCCACAATTGGCGGCCGCCTTCTTTTTTCATGCAGCGAACACCACCCCCCACGAGTCGTAGGAAACTTGAAGGCTCAATCAGCAAGGACTGCACCTCCACTCCACAGAGCTAGAACCCCGAGAGGGTTTTACAAAGACAGCGGGTCATATGGACAGCAGCAGCACCAGCAGGGAGAGGGAAGCAGGCGGCAGGGAGGAAAGAGGAAGAGACAAGAGCAGCAGGGAGAGAGGCAGGAAAGCGAGCGAGAGAGGAGGCAGCAGAGCCGAAAGGGAGGAAAGCACGGCAAGCGGCGCGCAGCAGCAGGAGGACGGGAGACCAGGGAACTGCATGCCAAATGAAACCCAGAAGCTGTATTAAGAAGCGCGGTTCACCTGCCCTGCAAGCGAGCACAACGGCATCCTGAAGCGGCCCCAGCCAATATCACGAGTGAAACCCGTACAGTCACGAGGCGAGGAGGAGGAGAAGAGAGATAGGAGAGAGAGGGACAACTAGACGGCACGCAAATCAAAGCAAGTACGAGGATTATGTTGAAGGACAGCGGCTCCGCTGCGATTGGCGACGGCTCCGCCCAGAAAGGAAACGGAGGCGGCCCCAAACGGGGGGAGCCAATGTCCTCATGCACGCCAAGGCCAAGCAAAAGCGCCGCCCCAGACCCTGAAACACTTCACGCCCCAAAAAAAGAAACACGTGCACACAACCTAGAGAATCACGGCCAATCCTTCACGTCGAATCGGGCGGCAAGGAGAAGCAAGAGGAGAAGAGGAGGGACGAAACGCGTTCGCAGAGCCCAGACACGGGCGGAGCCGCACTCACGAATCCGCACTCACGAATGCCTGCACGAAAAGGCGAGGCGGCCGCAGCCGCCGCGGCGGGATCCAGAGCGGAGCGCAGGGCAGGGGGGCACCTCGGCCCTCCAGCGGCCGTGGACACTAGCGCTGTGCCACCTGCGTGACCTCTGAGACCTGTGCGGCCTGCGGGGCCCGTGCGACCCGTGGGGCGCGTGCGACCCGTGGGGCGTGTGCGACCTGTGGCGCGCCCGTGGGACCTGTGAGAGACTGGCCAAGCTGCGGGGCCTGTGCCCGGATGCTGGGAGTGCCAGGGGCGCCAGGGGCGCCAGGGTGCCAGGGATACCAGAGGGACCGGTGATGCCAGGATGCCAGACATGACAGCAGGCGAAGGCGAAACAAATGCCAGGAGCTGAACTCTGGAAGCGAGGCTATCCCGAAGTGGCTTACCGCTGCTTCCGGACATGCAGAACCACTCCCAGGAATGGCGTTCTGTAGAGGAAAAAGAACTATGCACATACACCGATTCTGGCCAGGCCCATCCTCAGCCCAGGATCGGTGCATACGCCCTCCTACCTCGGCCAGGAAGGCATATGCACCGATCCTGGGTCAAGGATGGGCCTTGCCAGGATCGGTGCATGTGCATAGTTCTCTTCGCCCGATTCTGGAAGCACGAAGAGCCCGAAGTGGCTTTACAACAGTGGGTTCTCCGGGCAGTCAGAAATATCAGCTCCAGGAGCGGAGCCCCGGCAGCACGAGGAGAGCCCGACGTGTGGCCGACGGCTGGCTCTGCGGGCACTCAAAAAATCAGTCCCGGGCGTGGAGTTCTGGGAGCACGAAGAGCCCGACGTGGCCGAAGGTTGGCTCAGGACGATGACAACTCGAGGAGCAGAGTCAAGGAAGCACGAAGAGCCCGCGGTGGCCTGCAGTTGGCTCTGGACGCTCGAAGCCGGTGCAGGACAGGCAGCTCTGGAGACTCGATGGCCCCAAGGCATGGGATTGTATAGGGTACGCCGATGGCCGCCACAGATTAGTAACATGAAGCGGGGGGCCTATAGCGAGGGGGGCCCGCCTGAGGCATCCTCCCAATTCAATCAGCTAGGACTCGGAATGGGATGTCATGGTGATGATATGGTAGTGACGACGGTGATGGCGATGATGCGATGATGATGCTGCTGATGATGCTTATGATGATGCTGCTGCTGATGATCAGACCCCCCTTGTGTGTCTGAGTGCCTGGTTTGCGATTCGCGGAGCGCTGGAGCCCTCGTGGCCACAGCCCGTGCCTTGCTGCTGCTGCTGATTATGATTATGATCATGATTATGATTATGATGATGATGATGATGATGATCATGATTATGATTATGATGATGATGATATGATGATGCTGATGCTGATGCTGATGCTGATGCCGATGCTGATGCTGATGCTGATGCTGATGCTGATGCTGATGCTGATGCTGATGTTGATGCTGATGCTGATGCTGCTGCTGCTGCTGCTGCTGATGATGATGATGATGATAACCGATGAATATGATGGGACGGTAACATCGATGGAAATGGTGGTGTAATGGCGATGGTGAGGTCGAAAGGCGGAGCGAAGGAGGGGATGGAAATATCTCCTCCGCGAGGTGTGCACAGAAAACAGGAAGCTCGCTTAGGATATGGGAAAAAATGATTTCAACAGTGTTGTTCATCTGTGTAAAACAGTCGGCGGCGAGGGCCCACTATCTTCCCGACAGGGACAGCGGAGAGAGCAGAGCAGAACTCAGAGCGTGTGATCGCAGAGAGGAGGAATGAAAGGGGAGGGTAGCGGCGGGGGTGCTCCACAAGAGTTCGACGAGGGTCGAACTAAGCAAGAGATGGGGGGATGCCCTCAAGCGTAGCTGCACGGCATCTCACGACACGAGGGGCACCAACAGCAACCCCATGCCATTATGCGGGGTGCCAGTGCACAGCCCGTACCGAAGCGGCTCCTCTCCAGACTGACAGAGAGCACAGGTAAACCGACACAAAAACTCATCGGCCCGTCAGCAACCAGCAGCGGCGTTGAGGAAAGACCAGGGAGGGGGGGGGGGGGGGGGGGGGGGCAACACCAAGCCACGAGCGCCCACCGCAGAGCGATGAGCGCAGGCAGCAGGGGGGGGGGACAGGGAGGAGCGGTGGAGAATGGAAGGAGGGAGAAGGAGGGAGGGGAGGAGGAGGAGGAGGAGGGGACGAACGACGACGACGACGACGACGACGACGACGACGACGACGACGACGACGACGACGACGACGACGACGACGACGACGACGACGACGACGACGACGACAGCGCGAGGGCTGCCTCCGCAGATCCGTCCAGAAGAGGCTAGTGCAGGCGACAAGCAGCAGCTCCACAAGCAGCATGTTGTCCCACTGCACCTGTCGTCGTCGTCGTCGGCGTCGTCGTCGTCGGCGTCGTCGTCGTCGTCGAAACCGCCGTCGTCTGGGTGGGAGGGGGGAGGGGGGAGGAGGGAGGGGGGAAGGGGAGAGGAGAGGTAGAGGGGAGAGGACGGCCTGTTGACCTTCGCTTCGCGGGGATGAACTGAAGAGATGGCGAGCAGAGACAGGGAGGAGGTTGAAGGCATGAGGGCGAGGACGAAGGAGGGAGGAAGAGTGAGTAGGGCGAGGGGGAGGAGGAAGAGCGGGGGGGGCACAGAGAGGAGAGGGAGGAGGGCGGAGGGAGAGAGGAGGACGGAGGGAGAAGGAGGAGAAGAAGAAGGTGGAGGGCAGGAGGAGGAGTGAATAGGATGAGGGGGAGGAAGGATAATCACTTCCTTAACAAACAATGGATGAGGAGGGAGAGAGGAAGGGAGGGAGGGAGGGCAGGAGGCAGGAGCGCCTGGACCCACGCAGCGTGGCGGCGGGTCAGGTTGAGGGTGCCGAGCAGCACCAGCGGCACGACGCGGCAGAGCACGACCACGTCCAGGGGCGCCCGGCTGCGGGACCGAAACCGGAGCAGGGCGGTGGGGCTGTGCCCGTCCTGGGGCGGCCTCGGCGCACGGCCGAGCACAGCTCCTCGGTAAGATTCATTCACCGCCTCCTCCTGCTCCTCCTTCTCCTCCTCCTCCTGCTCCTCCTCCTCATCCTCCTCCTCCTCCTCCTCATGCCCTCTTCCTCCTCCTCCTCAGCACCCTCCTCCTACCTACCACCACCACCACCACCACCGCCGCCGCGATCATCAGCGTCACCGTTCCCCTCCTGCCAGCCCCGACCCCCACCCCTTGTTGTCCCCATCGCCATCGTAAGTATCCTCCTCATCCTGATCGCCCTCTTCCTCCTCCACTTCCCTCCCGGCCCGCCCTTGCTTTCTCCCCTTATGATCGTGTTTAACGAAACCCTCCCCTATCACCCTCGCCATCATCACGCATCATCGCCATCATCATCAACTCAATCGTTCTTCATCGTGCCCACTTCGTCATCATCTTGCTTTCATCCGTATCATCAACATCAGCATTGTCATCGTCTTCGTCCCCGTCATCGTCCTCATCATCAGCATCCGCAGCAGCAACAGCAGCTGCATCGTATCATAATCTTCGTCACCACCCTCAGCAACAACAGCATCAACATCGACCTCAGCAGCAGCAGCAGCTTCATCCTCAGTCGCATCAGCACCATGTTACTCACCATCACCGCAATCACCACCACCACTATCAGCATCATAACCTTCATCCTCATGGTCGTATTCCCATTAATCTTCAGTTTCATCTCCATAATACCTTCATATTCAACCTACTACGTATCAGCAGCATCATCAGAATCATAGCCATCATCGATCATCATCATCATCATCATCATCACCACCATCATCATCATCATCATCATCATCATCATCATCATCATCATCATCGTCATCATCATCATCATCATCATCATCATCATCGTCATCAGCATCAGCATCAGCATCAGCATCAGCATCATCACCATCGTCACCATCATCAGCATCAGCATCGTCATCGTCACGGTCATCGTCATCATCATCACCACCACCATCATCATCATCATCGTCATCACCACCGCTATCATCATCGTCATATAGATGATCGTCATCATCAGCAGCAGCATCATCAGCAGCATCATCATCGTCATCATCATCATCAGCATCATCATCGGCATCATCATCGCCATCGCCATCACCGTCGTCGTCATCATCGCCATCATCAGCATCATCATAATCATCGACATCGTCTTCACCATCATCCTCATCGTAATCACCACCACCACCATCATCATAATCAGTATCACCATCACCGACTCAAAACAACAACAACAACAACAACAACAACCACAACAACAGCAGCAGCAACAACAACAACGACTTCAACAACAACAGTAACAATAATAACAACAACCACAACAACAACACCAACAACCAACAACAACAGCAGTAACAACAACGACAACAGCTGCAGCAACAACAACAGCGGCAATAAGAGAAACAACAGCAGCAACAACCAACAGGAGCAACAACAACAACCAACAACAACAACAACAACAGCAACAACAACAACCACAACAACAACAACAACAACAACAGCAGCAACAACAACAACAACAACAACAACAACAACAACAACAACAACGCCGTCCGCCTGGGCGCTCGGCGCCCCCCCGAGCGGGATGGCGTGCGCGAGCGGCGGGCCGCCGAGGGCGCGGCGTGTGCAGCTGCGGGTCCTCCCGCGGGAGGGGACGGGGGAGCACTGCCACGGGAGAGGTCAGCGACGGCCAGACTGAGAATAAGCGGGGTGCGACTATCGGAGAGGAGGAGGAGGAGGAGGAGGAGGAGGAGGAGGAGGACCCAGACCCCCTCGAATCAGAACAAAAACCACGACGGGAGGTTTATCCCTACAGTTTCGACCTCTGGGGGCCCTTACCGGCCCTCGGGACCGTCAAAAAAAGGACTCGGGACGAAAAGCCGGTCCCGGGGAATGGGTCCGGACCTCTGGGGGTCGCGTCATGAAAAAGATCATGACGTCGGGGGTCTGGGGAGGAGGAGGAGGAGGAGGAGGAGGAGGAGGAGGAGGAGGAGGAGGAGGAGGAGGAGGAGGAGGAGGAGGAGGAGGAGGAGGAGGAGGAGGAGGAGGAGGAGGAGGAGGAGGAGGAGGAGGAGGAGGAGGAGGAGGAGGAGGAGGAGGAGGAGCGCCAATCCCAGCAGGGGGGAGGGCGGGCCAGCAGCAGGAGCAGCGAGAAGCGGGAGGAAGTTCCACGGTCCACGCTGGCCCGAGTGGTTGACTCTCCCGCGTGGAGGCCCCTCCCATCTGTTCTCAGCCTGGACAGTGCACGTGCTCGCGCCCTCATGATACCATCAGCAGCTTTGGCCCCAGGGAGGCCTGTGCCTCTCATGCTCTGTCGTCGCCGCCGTTGTCGTCGTCGTCGCCGCCGCCGCCGTCGTCGTCGAAGAGACTGGCGTCTTCAGGTTGGGAGGGGGAGGGGGGGGAGGTAGGGGTGAAGGGGAGAGGAGCAGAGGGGGAAGGACGGCCTTTTGACCTTCGCTTCGCGGGGATGAACTGAAGAGATGGCGAGCAGCGACAGGCTGAAGGGATGCGGGCGAGGACGAAGGAGGGAGGAAGAGTGAGAAGGGCGAGGGGAAGGAGGACAAGCCAGACGCGCTCGCGTCATATCTGACGTCCTACCCCCCCCTCCCATCTCTTATCATGGCGTAAAGATTATCTATATTTCTCTTTTTTTATCTCTCTCTCTCTCTCTCTCTCTCTCTCTCTCTCTTCGCACAATCGGATGTCGTAGCATGGCATAGCATGACATAGCATTAGATGTCATAGCATGGTGTTGAATACCAACTCGTAGCATGACTCCCCAAAAGGAGGGGGGCTTCTACGGCCCCCAAAAAACTAAGCGACACCGAATGTGTAATAATTTCCGATGTTTTCTTCGGGAGGCCATCTTTCGGATTCGGGGGGCCGATGTGGAAGGACAAAAAACCATGCCGTGGCATGGCGCTGGAAATAACGACGCCAGCGCTGCAGCGGGAGCATGATTCGGAACGAGCGGAAGCGCGGAAACGAGGCCAGCGCTGCAGCGGGAGCACGATTCGGAACGAGCGGTAGGCCGAAAATGAGGCCAGCGTTTCAGCGAGACCAGCATTTTGACAACAAAAAACCCAAGCGAAAACTCAACTCTCGGAAAACCGGTGTAAAAAAACAGTACGCGGAGGGGTGCCGGACATTTCCCGGACGTCACCGGGGGAGAGAGGAGAGTAGTATTCAGATCGAACAATTGTAGAGCGGAGGAGGGCACAGGGAGGAGAAGGAGGAGCTCGGAGGGAGAGAGGAGGACGGAGGGAGAAGGAGGGAGGAGGAGGAGGAGGAGGAGGAGGAGGAGGAGGAGGAAGTCGAGATATCCCGAGAAGCGGGACATGGACGACGAGATCGAGCGCGAGGGCTACGACAAAAACTGGAGCGTTGACTTCGCCGACAACTAGAAGGACTTCAACGGGGTGGTCTGAACGCTGGACGTGGAGAGCAAGACGCACTACCTCGGTCATGAGTGGACACGGCTAGACGGTGGCGAGATGGGCATCCTGGTGGATCCGGGAGCATGTGGCAGTCTCGTGGGCGGCAAATGGGCGTTGCAGCAAGCGGCTAAAGCCCGTCAGCATGGGCACATCACTGAAGGAGCACCTCTGCGTACTCCAAATCCCATCTGAATCGTCCCCCAGGTCCGGTTTTTAAGGCGCCTTTTTGTAACTGGGGGGGGTCCGGTTTACTAAGGCGCTTTCTTTGGATTGGAGCTCAAGGGGTCCGGTTTATTAAGGCGCCCCGTCGACGGTGGGGGGTCGGAATATTAGGTCGCATTTGGAAAGGGGTCCGGTTTTTAGGGGGGGTCGATTGACGAGGGGCTTGGAGCAAGCCTTTGGAAGTCCACGGAGTTTGTAAGGGGAGGAGGAGGAGGAGGAGGAGGAGGAGGAGGAGGAGGAGGAGGAGGAGGGGGAGGAGGAGGGAGGAGGAGGGGGGTACCGCACTGCCTGGCGGTCGCCGCGCTCCAAGAATGGGCGCGAGGGCGAACACGGCTGAATGGAAGCGGGTGCTGAGCACTGCCCCCCTCTTTCAAAGGCGGGCCACCCCCCACCAAGGGGATCGCGGAGGCGACCCGAGAACGAGTGAGAGATATGGAAATATGTGGGCGAGCGAGGCTCGCAATATGAGAGAGACCGAGCCTGACACGGGACCCGACGCTGCACGGCGAGCCCTCGTCCTTTCCACCATGAAGGAGGGCGGCTCGGGCATCGGTCAGGGCGGCTGGCTTCCCAGCTGCCCCCGTGCCCAGTGCACGAGTAAAGGAAGAGGGGAAACTGGGGGGAGAGGGGCGGCGGCGCGGGGGAACCCCAAGGCTCGGGTTCAGAGGCAGGCTGCGTAACCTGCTCCCCCGCGCCGACCGAACCCACAACCCCAGAAACGAAGACAGAAGGAGGGAAAAGAGGAGGAACCCCAAAGCTCGGGTACCACGGCAGGCAACATAACCTGCGCCTCTCAGGAAGTTCAAGCCACACGCGTGCGGCGCACCTTCCCCAACGACTGGGGTGCCTGGGCCCCGATGATTTTTTCATCGGCAACGGCGGCTACCCGTCGGCACTCGGGAGATCAAGCAGGCGAGCGCAGGCACTGGCGACCTGGATTCGTATGCGGCACCCATCCTTCCGGGCAGCGATGCCCGGGCACTGTTAAGTCGGGCGTGTCCCCCTACAGGGGGATTTTCGACGAAACATATATATATATACTAAAAACCAATGCGCGCGCTTCGCGCGCGCTCAAGTTCTAGCTAGGCTTGATTGGCGAATCCATGGGGTATCATCCTTGTCGCTTCTTGCATCCAGGGACTCTCTTGGAGGCCCTGCGCAAGCCTCGGAATCGCATAGAAGGGGAACTTGGGGCCATCGAAGGCTTCCTGTGTTCTTTTCTGGAGCCTTCATTGTGGTCTGTTGTGCAGGGGTAGACAAGGGGGGCGAACTTGGGGAAACAAACGGAATGGCGGGATG